AGCGGCCACGTGTTTTCCTTCTGCTCGGTGATGTTGTCGCCCTCTCCCCGGGCAAGAGAAGGGTCGTGGGAGGGGGATTCAGAGCCTCTGTCCTGCTAGGGAGACGTCCGGAGCGCCCCTTCCCCAAGGAATGTGGGCGAGAGCGTGCATGAGGGCAGTGCGGCCTCGTTTCCCGCTCTCATGGGCTCGAGAACTGCCTGCGTTTGCAACCGAGATGCTGAGGGGCTCGGAGCCCCTTCCCTAGGAGGAAAGCATGGAGAGCAATGCTCCGTCTAAATCAGTGGTGGCGAACCTACGGCACGGGTGCCAGAGGTGGCACTCAGAGCCCTCTCTGTGGGCACGCGTGCCAACGCCCTAGCCAGGCCCAGACCATCATAAAAGTGTCAAATTCTCTGCCAAATAATTTTAAGTAAATGAAAGCATTTGGGATTGCTTTCCTTACTTTGTTTGGATCATCTTAAGTTAAGGCATGAGTTGTATTTTCTAAAGTAAAACCTCATCATTCAGGTTAAATTGCTGTGTTGGCACTTTGCGATAAATAAGTGGGTTTGGGGTCGCAGTTTGGGCACTCAGTCTCTAAAAGGTTCGCCATCACTGGTTTAGGCTTTCTCTCTGTGAAAGGCAGAACACAGTTTGAGTCCAGTGGCACCTTTCAGACTTTTCTGAGTATCTGGGACTAGTATCTGGGAGACCCAGGTTCGAATCCCCCACTCATGGTATGGAAGCTTGCTGGGTCACCTTGGGCCGCTCACCTCTTCTTAGCCTGAACCACCTTCACAGGGTCATCGTGAGGATGAAACAGAGGGAAGGACAACAACGCAAGCCGCTTCCCTCTCTCCCAAAAGACTAGGCCCCGAGGACATCCAAGGAAGCCGACGGGCAGTAGGTTCAGAACGGACAAAAGGAAATACTACTTTACGCAGAGAATGATTCAAATGTGGGATTCGCCACCAGAGGATGTCGCAATGGCCACAGGCATCACGCCCCTTCCCCAAGGAATGTGGGCGAGAGCGTGCATGAGGGCAGTGTGGCCTCATTTCCCGCGCTCATGGGCTCAAGAACTGCCTGTGTTCGCAACCGAGATGCTGAGGGGCTTGGAGCCCCTTCCCTAGGAGGGAAGCCTGGAGAGCAATGCTCCCTCTAAGCCGTGGAGTCTTGTGAGCAAAAATTCTACTCTGTGAGCTCCTGGCATTAAAGGTATGAGCGAGCGATTTGGCTAATGCATAAGTTAGTTTGCTCCGGAGCCCTCCTTCCTGAGCTAAGACAAAAATGTGTGAGCTGGAGGCTAAAAAACTGTGAGCTGGCTCACACTAACTCAGCTGAGAGGGAATGCTGGTGGGGACATGAGAGAGGTTTATAAAATTATGCCTGAGGCGGAGGGAGTTGACCAAGGGGACTTTTTCTCCCTCTCCCAAAATACTGGAACCCGAGGGCATCCAGTGAAGCTGATGGGAAGCAGATTCAGGACAGACGGAAGGAAATACTTCTTTACGTGGCTAGTGATTACAACGTGGAATTTGCTGCCAAAGGATTTAGTGATGATCACAGGCACAGAAAGCTGAAAAAGTGGATTAGACAGATTGATGGAGGATAGGTCTATCAGTGGCTCCTAGCCATGGTGATTAAAGAGAACCTCCACATTCAGAAGCAGTCAGCCTCTGAATCCCGGAGTTAGGAGGCAACCTCAGAGGAACTGGCTGGCCACTGTGTGAGACAGGATGCTGGACTAGATGGATCATTGGTCTGATCCAGCAGGGCTCTTCTTGGCACTTTGCGATCAATAAGTGGGTTTTGGGTCGCAGTTTGGGCACTCGGTCTCTAAAAGGTTCGCCATCACTCCTCTAAGCTGTGGAGTCTTGTGAACAAAAATTCTACTCTGTGAGCTCCTGGCATTAAAGGTATGAGCGAGCGATTTGGCTCCTGCATAAATTAGTTTGCTCTGGAGCCCTCCTGCCTGAGTGAAGACAAAAACGTGGATTTTGTTAGTTTAGGCTAAAGGGGGACACGGTAGAGGTTTATAAAATTGTGCACGGGGTGGAGGGAGCCGAAGAAGAGAAATTTTTCCCTCTCTCCCAAAAGACTATGCCCCGACGACATCCAAGGAAGCCGACGGGCAGTAGGTTCAGAACGGACAAAAGGGAATACTACTTTACGCAGAGAGTGATTCAAATGTGGGATTCGCCAACAGAGGATGTCGCAATGGCCACAGGCATCAACAGCTTTAAAAGGGGATTAGATAGATTTGTGGAGTGATCCAGCAGGGCTCTTCTGATGTTCCTATGAAGGCCTCAGCCTCTATGCCCTGTCATTGACCCTCCAGAGGAGCTGGTTGGCCCTTGTGTGAGATGGGATGCTGGACTAGATGGACCCTCACTGGTCTGACCCAGCAGGGCTCTTCTGAGGTTCTTATCAGGGGAAGGCCTCGGCCTCTCTGCCCTGTTGTTGGCCCTCCAGAGGAACTGGTTGGCCACCGTGTGAGACAGGATGCTGGGCTAGATGAACCACTGGTCTGATCCAGCAGGGCTCTTCTTGTATTCTTACGTTCCCAGGGGTCAGTCTGTTACCTTTAACACATCTCAAGGCTAGCTTCACAAGAGTCACATATTTTAAAGACAGAAAGGTAAATAAAGATTCTTCGGAGGCCTCCAAGTCTGAACGACAGGAAGGGACTCTTAAGAGGAACTCTTAAAAGGAGGGATTGAATTGTGAGCCGGCACCGTTTCCCCGCATCCTCAGCTCAGTAGCAAATCTCAAATCCACCCCCCGCCTCTGGGGACCACCAAGCAGACAAAGAGGACCCCCAGTCTGCATGCACGAATCCATCTTAGTCACCGTGGCCTCAGGGGGGGTTGGTGCCAGTAGCCCCCCCCCACTCCGTCTGCCCGTGTTGCCAGGTAGCACCAGGAGACAGCTCTGTTTCTGGGAGGGGCGATGCATCTCTCCAGATGTGCCCAGGCGCCAGGCCTGGCTGGAATCATCACAACTGGTTCCCTAACAGAATTAAGCCTCGCATGCCCTCATTAGAGCGAGACAGTAATAAAGACACAGGGGAGAAGGCTGGGGGACGAGTGGGTGAAGGCAGAGCGAGAGACGGGAGGAATCACACAGACGCTGATCCTTAGAAAGATTCTTGGCCGTCGGTTGGCCGGTTTCCCAGTCCCTTCTCCAGTGTTCTCCCCTAAGCTGAGTTTAGTGTGAGCCAGCTCACAGTTTTTTAGCCTCCGGCTCACACATTTTTGTCTCCGCTCAGGAAGGGATGGCTCCAGAGCAGACTGATTTATGCAGCAGCCAAATCGCTCGCTCACAACTTTCATGCCCGTGGCTCACCGGGTAGAATTTTTGCTCACAAGACTCCACAGCTTAGAGGGAGCATTGGTCTCCTCTTTGAATTTCCCCCAAAAAAAACATTTTATTGAATTTCAAGCAAATACATGCAGACATTTTTGTCTCTGCTCAGGAAGGGTGGCTCCAGAGCAAACTGATTTATGCAGAAAGCCAAATCGCTCGCTCACAACTTTCATGCCCGTGGCTCACCGAGTAGAATTTTTGCGCACAAGACTCCACAGCTTAGAGGGAGCATTAGTCTCCTCTCTGAATTTCCCCCAAAAAACATTGTATTGAATTTCAAACAAATACATGCAGACAGCATTACCGTAAACGATAGATCTGCACAATACAAACTTTGAAGACTCATTATAACATAGCCCTAAAGTACAAATTAACAAGTCATGCTTCTGTTACAAGTCGCTCATTGTGATAATTCCTTAAAGGAAGACGTGTAGTCATGTAGTCCAAGTCCAATTCTTCAAGCAGTCTTTGAGATAGGTACAAAATAAGATGAAACGACAAAACAATAAAACAATAACAGCAGACTAAAGGTAAAGATTTCCCTTGCTCACAAGCTAGTCAAATCCGACTCTAGGGGGCAGTACTCATCTCCGTTTCCAAGCCGAAGAGCCAGCGCTGTCCGAAGACGTTTCTGTGGTCATTTGGCTGGCATGACTAAACACCGAGGCGCACGAAACGCTGTTACCTTCCCACCGAAGCGGTCCCAATTTATCTACTTGCAATTTCTTGCTTTCGAACTGCTAGGTTGGCAGGAGCTGGGGCCAGAGATGGGAGCTCACTTCGTTCCGCGGCATTCGGGGGGAAAGAGGTCATTCTTTGCTCCCGCACAACTCCCCCGAACGGGACTGATCCAAACAGGGATCTGGCACGGCTGCCGAAAGATCGAGAGACCAGGAAAATTCGGGGCCCGAATTTTCCTTCTCTCTCCTCTCGATAGATCCCAGAGTCACCCCGTGGATGGTGTTTGCAGAAACCCTTTTATTACTGCGAGGAACAAAACCCGTTCTCGATGCAGCTTTCTCCCGTGACCACTTTCTCCCTGTCCCCCTCTGCTGAGAAGGAAGAGATGGTTCTGAATCCAGCGGGGAATCCAGCACTAGGTGTTTGCGAAAGGAGGCGACGGGAACGGAGCGTGCCCGTTGCCTCCTCCGCTCTGCTGACCTTCTCCCCGCTCCCACCAAGCAGCTGTGTCAGGAACATCTGGAAAGCAGAGTTCTTTCCCCCTCAGTTCAAGTTTACGACTTTCCCGACAGGAGTCTGTGATCTTTTTTTGGGGGGGGGAGAGAGAACAGGATAAGTTCTGAAGCATCGAAAGAGCAAGGCAAATGTTCCCGAGGGTGTCCTGACCTGTCACCCTGGAGAACAACAGACGAGAAACAGAGCACCGTTTGAGATCCTCCAAATAGAGTTCCCTCCTCTGCACTCTGAAAAACCTGCCTGCAGTTTATTTATTTAACTTCACTTATAACCATGCCTTTCTCCCCAATGGAGACCCAAAGCAACTTACATCATTCTCCTCTCCTCAGTTTTATCCTCACAACAACCCTGTGAGGTAGGTTAGGCCGAGAGTGTGTGACTGGCCCAAGGTCACCCAGCAAGCTGCCATAGCAGAGTGAGGATTTCAGCCTGGGTCTCCCAGACCCAGTCCAGTAGTCTAACCAGTACACCACATCCAGCTTTGTAGTGCCAGCTCCTCCCTCCTATTGTCAAAGCTGTAAGGCGACTCGGGAGTGAAGGAAATGCTATCTGCACATGCTCAGAAGCAGTCTTCCCTTTCCTTGAAAGGAGACACAAACCGAGTGCCTTGATTCTGGGAACGATCCTGACTCATCAGCTTCCCTCTGAGTTAGGATGATTCTCAGAATCTAGGTTTTTGCTCACGCTCAGAAGGGCTTTGCCATCAGGTTAAATTGGCTAGAAACCCTGAGGGTTTGCCTCCTTCTTTTGCAGCATGTAGCCTGGCTCGCTTACTTTGAGACATCTGGAGTCATTTCTCAGTAAACACAGAGCATTTAGACACGCCTGGTACTCTGAATGGCAGAAATTGGTCTGTGGGTGGAGAGGGGGTAAATGGTACGAGAGAGAGCTCGGAGGAGTTTGTGGATGGGATAGATGGCCTTTGGATGGATTCAGCTTCTTTGAGTCTATTATCTCCATGCCAGAAGAAAGCCAGGTTGGGTTGAGGTAATATCAGACAGGGCCTTAGGAATAAACAGCTTTAAAAGGAGATTAGACAGATTCATGGAAAAGAAGTCTATCAGTGGCTACTAGCCATGGTGACTGAGGGGAACCTCCACATTCAGAGGCACTAAACCTCTGCATTCCAGAGCCAGGAGGTAACATCGGGGGAAGGCCTCGGCCTCTATGCCCTGTTGTTGGCTCTCCAGAGGAACTGGTTGGCCACTGTGTGAGCTAGAAACCGTGAGGGTTTGCCTCCTTCTTTTGCAGCATGTAGCCTGGCTCGCTTACTTTGAGACATCTGGAGTCATTTCTCAGTAAACGCAGAGCATCTAGACACGCCTGGTACTCTGAATGACAGAAATTGGTCTGGGTGGACAGGGGGTAAATGGTATGAGAGAGAGCTCTGAGGAGTTTGTGGATGGGATAGATGGCCTTTGGATGGATTCAGCTTCTTTGAGTCTATTATCTCCATGCCAGAAAAAAGCCAGGTTGGGTTGAGGTAATATCAGACAGGGCCATAGGAATAAACAGCTTTAAAAGGAGATTAGACAGATTCATGGAAAACAGGTCTATTAGGGGCTACTGGCCATTGTGTCTCATGGGGACCTCCACATTCAGAAGCAGTCAACCTCTGACTACCTTTCAATTTCTCAGCTGGCAAGCAAAGAGAACTATATCCGTCCAGATCATAAGGAGTACATAGCCATGATCAGGGGTCATTTCCCGCAGGAGCGCACAGGAGTGGAGCTCCGGCAGTAAAGAGCCCAGGGGGCGGGCACATGCAACAAGCCCCACCCCCTGCTCCCAGCAGCTCTCAGTCAGAGCAAGAAGTAGCCAGGTACGTTGCAGAGGGCCCCCCCGGCCCCCCGGTCCAAAACAGTTCAGTGGCACCTTTAAGACCAAGCTTTATTCAGATACAAGCTCTCCCTCCTCTGCGAGGGCAGATCTGAACGTCCCCCCCCCACAATAGCTAGCAATCCGACCAGATGAACCAATGCTCCGATCCAGCAGGGCTCTAATTATGTCCTTATGTTTAATGGAGGGAATCTTCTGTTTAGAGCTCTTCACCAATTAAAGAATTTTAATTGATTACCTGTCTGCCTTTTAGCAAATGAACTGATTAAAGATGTATGCATGACCAAGGTTCTTTTTCAGTGGCTGAAGAGTAACAACTGGATCGTGCAAAAGCTAGGCCTACTTGTTGCTGGAAGGAAAGGTCATCTAATTTCTTATTTTTTTAAAAAAATTCCTTGCAAAGGTATCAAACAATAACCAAAATAGCTTCAAAGCAGCAACTCGGAGCTTCCTGAACTCGGCCCCACCAGCTGAAAGAGGCCCCTGGTAATTAATCCGCGAAAGCTTTAATTGCTTAATCTACTGATTCAAGTCCAAGAGCCCCTTAAACACTAACGAGATTTTCAGAATATAAGCTTTCGAGAGTCAAAGTTCCTCTCATCAGATAGGCTTTTGACTCTCCTACCATTCACCCTTATCCTAAATTAACTTATCTATTACAACTCTACAATAAATGACTTACAATTTCATATTAAATGTTATCCTTAAAACTATTGTAGAATACCTAAGCATATATGAACTGTCGTTCCTATCTATCTCACTTATCCTATACTTACTTAACTCTAAATACCTCTCACCCCTCTAAACTAACACTTATTAATGTGCGCACTAAACTACTTATTTAGGTGTCTACTTACCTATCTACTTAAAGTACTATAAAAATGATCAAAAATAAAATAAAAATAACAGAAAGAACCGCCTTTGGGGCTCCTGTTCCCACACAGGAGGATAGAAACGACTAGAACCCTTTTCCGTCTTAACGAACAACTATCCTCTGAAATCAATCTACTGGCGAAACAGATTAAAGATTGAGATTTTTTCCTCCCAAGGAGGAAACTGGGGGTTTCATACTTTCTCTCGTCTCTCTTTCTCTCTCCCCCTCCCTCTGCAGGCGAGCCACGGATCTACGGCCACATCCTCATCCACGAATCCCTCCAGCACGTGATCGGCGTCCAAGAGAATATTCCTCTCGTGGCCGCCACCCGGGGAAACGCTCTCGACCTGCGTAGCGAGAGGCCCCACCCGCTCCTTTCTCCAGATCTCCTGGGGCCACTGCGGCAGGCATCACTGTATCCCGATTCCCACAACGGCTGCGTTGGGTCAAATGACTTGTCGCACGTTGGCAGTGAGCAAATTCCCGCCGCTGATGAAGATAGAGGATGCCCAGGAGCAGATTCTTCTACTCTCGCATGCAATGAGGAATCTGGGATCCCAGCAGATCCCACCGAGGAGGACTCCAATGTGGGTGGCCCTCCACCACACCCCAAACCCCTGGACAAGGCAACCGTTGCGGTCACAAAGGCAGAGGAATCTGTGGGTACATCAGAGCCAGACAAAGAGATGGGGGAGGCCAAGCGGTCATCTGGGGCTCCTAAGATCCAGCCAGGGGTCGCCATGGAAACTGTAAAGTCCAGCCTCCCCCTAGAATCCCAGCAGAGCCACAGCGACTTGAAGGCAGGAGATTCGGCCGTCTTCTCTCGCCCCACAGAGGAACTAAAGTCCACGTTATCTGATTCCTCAGCTGTATGCGCGGGGGAGCACGGCTTGCCACTGATGCAGGAATCGAGTCATTCCCTCCTGGGCCATGGGCCGAGGCAACCGTCCGAGATCATATGGGAGAAAAGGGGGCCCAGCCCTTCCCTGGAGACAGTTGACTGCAAAGAAAGGGATGAACGGATGCTGGGTACGAGTGAGGATGACTCCAAAACTGCATCAGGGACCTGCACCCAGGAAACCCCAACTTCTACCCCTAGCCCTCTCCCCAATGCTTCCAAAACCACAATCCCCCTACCACTTCTCTCCTCCGGAAGTGTGGGGGCTTCATTGCCCAGTAACGGCTCGCCCCCGTCAACTCCCAGGGTGGGAACCCCTATTCGGGAGCCCCCGCACCCAACACGTGGTGATTCCCAGGCTGCGGTGGAGTCCCCGGTCTCCGCCCCAGAGCCACATCCATCCACGCCTCTCCCAAAGCTGCTCCCCCCTTCCCCGGTCCGCCGGTGCCTGTCGTCGAGCGCTGCTGCCATCTCTCGGTACATCGCCGCTTCCTGCATCAGCCAGAGCTTGGCCAGGAGAAACGGCCCCCCTCAGCCCGAGGAGCTGCAGGCCCCTTGTCGGCCTCTTCCACCCGCCCAGGCCCCGCCAAGACCAAAAGTGAACCCTCTGGCTCTTCTCCCCAAAGGGGCACCCAGAGCCCCTGGCAGCTTGGGGAGGGCAGAGGCCTGGTCTCCACGAGATGCCGCTCAGGCTGGTAGTGCCCCCCGCTGCTTCAGCCCGGGGCCTTCGTCGCCCAGTCGCCAACGGGCCTGGTCGGCGGCAGGCCCGGTCTTCGAGCACCGTACTCCATTCTCTTCTGCCTCAGAGCCCAACTCCCGGGTCCAGTCGCCCTCCCCCGTGAAGATCAGGGTCTGCTCCCCGCCTCCATCTGGGTCCCAGGGCTGCACTTTCACCCCTCTGTATGCCCACCCTCCTGGGCAGCCGCCTACCCACATTGCCTCACCGGTGCCCCAGACAGCGACCCCTGCCCCGGGGCCATCTGTTTTACCTCAGTGTGGCTGGAGGCCTCGAGGAAACAGCCTACCCACCGGTGGGCCAGCCGAGAGCATGGCCACAAGCGGGGACCGGGCGTCGTGGTGTGCTGTGGGGCCTACCGGCTGCAGTCCCGGCCCGCTGACTGGCGCTCCCCTCAATTCTCACGAACTCGGCAGCATCAAGTGGCCGAACGTGCCGGGCCTGCGTTCGAAGTACGGGAGCGCTGAACGCAGGCTGAGCCCCCAGCGGAAGGAAGCTGAGGGGGACGGTTGTCCCAGACTGGACACCCCTGGAACCACGGACGTGGCTCAGTGCTCAGAGAAGAGTCACCAAAGGGCCAGCTATTCTACGACGGTCAACATCCAGATTGGCGGCAGTGGGAGGATAGCCTCTTTTAGCAAAGCCCAGGTCAGTCTGACCCACCCTCTTCTCCCCACGCCAGAGCAGCCAAGCATCAGGAAGGTCAACGGCAACGCTTTGGAGATGCCGCAGAAAACGTGAACTTTTGAGGAGCAGGCGGCTCGAGGCAGCGGCTGGATGATCTCCTGCCGGTTCCAGGACCAAACCGAACACTGTAGCTCGAAGGAGGCTGGAAGCCAGCAGGGGTGGGGAGCGATCACAGGAGGTGGAAGACGTGGGATCGACGGAGTCGGTACTTGGCGGAAGCTGTGGCTCAAGGCGGAGGCAGGGAGGGGAAGATAACTCATTTCCCGTATGCCACGGGGACAACCGTTTCTCCTCCTGACCCCACCAAAACGTGACCTCTTCCGGCATCCTTCTCCACGGAGAGCGTCTTAGTGAGTAGGGTTGCCAGTCTCCAGGTGGGAGTCAAAATGAGAGATCACGGGAAGAGGTGGAACTCCAAAAACAACATCTGTGATAAAAAATAACGAAGAGTCAATGAAGGTAAGTTGCAAAAACATTTACCGAAGTATTTCTGTAGTTCTGTAAGGAACATCCTTCTTGTCATCACTCACACGCTAACGAATACTGCGCAATGTGAGCATCCGTTTCGCAATATGTACTTCATCTGAGCGTGTAGCAATCCCAGTTCTTATCAAATACTACTTATCAACTCTTGCTGGAAACATTCCATGTTGACTAATAACAGGACCCAAGGTCTTCACAAAGTATTAGCTGGATTCTCAAAGACAAACATAAAGTCTCCACCGCTAATTGCTACCAGCCACGGTCTGCAGAGAGTCAACATGGAATGTTTCCAGCAAGGGTTGATGAGTGGTAATTGATAAGAATTGGGATTGCGACACGCTCGGATAAAGTATATATTGTGAAACGAATGTTCACATTGCGCAGTATTCGTTAGCGTGTGAGCGACGGCAGAAGGGTATCCCTTAGAGAACTACAGAAATACTTCAGTAAATGTTTTTGCAACTTATCTTTATTGACTCTTCGTTATTTTTATCACGGATGTTGTTTTCGGAGTTCAGTCTCCAGGTGGGGCCTGGAGATTTCCGGGAATTACAGCTGAAACCCAGTCTTCAGAGATCAGTACCCCTGGAGGAAAAGGGGGCTTTGGAGGGTGGGTTCTAGGGCATTATACCCCCCCACAAACCCCACCCTCCCCAGACCCCACCCCCCAAATCTTCAGGTATTTCCCAACCCGGAGCTGGCAACCCTGCTCAGGAGACCCAGAGACTCCTGTTTTAAGGGGTCTTGGCTTGTTGGGGGGGGAATGCACGGCCTGGGGGGGGGAGCTGTTAAGGAAAGTCGGCGCACAATCAGGAAAATATTCCTTTTCTAAATCTGTTTTGTTTTAATTCCAGTGTTCAGGTTCATTTTGGGAGACAGAATCACAGAGACTCAAGGAATCTTTGTAAGGGGGGGGGAGAAAATCTGTTCATAAACGTAAAGTTTCAGAGGGGGTTTATAGAGCTGTTGCAGACAGAAGAGGCAAGCCCCCAAATAGTTTTGTAAAATACAGAATAGTGCTGGCTGGGACTCAAAACTCTCTTCCCTAAGAGCACTGAACATTCTACATCGGGGGTCCTCAACCTTTTTGACCCTACGGGCAACTTTGGGATTTTGACACAGCATGGTGGATGCAGCCACAAAATGGCTGCCAAAAGATGGCTGCCACAAAATGGCTGCCTCGGGAGGTGGAGCCAGCCATAAGATGGCTGCCACAAAATGGTTGCCCCAGGAGATGGAGCCGGTCACAAAAGGGCTGCCACAAAATGGCTGCCTCGGGAGGTGGAGCCGGCCACAAAATGGTTGCCACAAAATGGCTGCCTTGGGAGGTGGGGCCAGCCACAAAATGGCTGCCCCAGCTTACCTTCTGACACAAGGAAGATCCTTATGCTGTTGTGGCAGCTGCTGCCAAAGCAACGTTTTTAAAAATCTGAACAGGTGTTCAAATTTCCAATAGCCAATCAGAAGCTTTGCTGGGGGGGGAACCCCACATGCACCCCCCTTTCTAAAAACACTTGGCGAGCACCTGGCAAGGTGTCGGTGGGCGCTGTTTCTTGGAGGAAAGGCAGGGGGAAGATGTGACAGATCAGTCTTCTCTCTGTGTGCCAAATCCCAGATTTAAATCCAGGTATTCTTTTATACCGCCCCTGTATTCATACTGCCCCACCCCTCTTGAAATAAACTTTCATTTTTTTATGGCCCCACCATTAATTCTGACGCCTCGGCTGAGTTCTGCATTAACTTTTGGGCGGACCGGCGTTCGCAATTTCTCTCTCCTGCCCCCCAGGGGCGCCGTTGGGAGCCCGTCGGCTCTCGGAAAACCATAACAAAAGCCAATAAGAATCCACTGAAATAATTGTGATTTATGTTTCCAAAGGATTCAAGTTTCCTTCTCCCCACGTAAATCTGGATTGCTTAATGAGATTTTAAAATGAAAACTCTCTCCGGGGGGCACCCCACCTCACACACCCCTCGGGGACACGCCATGGTTGATTCCATGACCTCCTTTTGTTTTCTTCCATAAAGAGGAAGGATGCTATTCCTCTGGCAATTAGGCAGGGTGCGTTTCCGTAGTTCGTACTGCGGTAGATGCCTTCTCTCTTGCAGGGGGCACGGTAGTCCTGATCCGTTGGGAGGGGTCCCAGGTTCAATCCCCGGCATCTCCAGTTAAAAGGACCAGGCAGGAGGTGATGGGAAAGACCTCCGCCTGAGACCCTGGAGAGCTGTGGAGAGGGGCTGTGGCTCAGTGGTAGAGCCTCTGCTTGGCATGCAGAAGGTCCCGGGTTCAATCCCCGACATCTCCAGTTAAAAGGGTCAGGCAGTAGGGGATGGGAAAGACCTCAGCCTGAGACCCTGTGGCTCAGTGGGCTGTGGCTGTGTGGGCTGTGTGGGCTGTGGCTCAGTGGTAGAGCCTCTGCTTGGCATGCAGAAGGTCCCTGGTTCAATCCCCGGCATCGCTAGTTAAAAGGACCAGGCATCAGGTGATGGGAGATACCTCCACCTGAGACCCTGGAGAGCTGTAAAGAGGGGCCGTGGCTCAGTGAAAGAGCCTCTGCTTGGCGTGCAGAAGGTCCCTGGTTCAACCCCCGGCATCTCCAGTTAAAAGAACCAGGCAGCAGGTGATGGGAAAGACCTCCGCCTGAGACCCTGGAGAGCCGCTGCCGGTCTGAGTAGACAATACTGATCCTAGTGGGCCAAGGGTCTGATTCAGTAGAAGGCAGCTTCAGGCATTCGCGCCGAACATTCCAGCTCAAAATAGCACCAGGGAATAAACTTGTGCCCAAGACTTTGGAGTGCATCTATCAGTTAGACAAATCCACAATATTTAGTCCTAAGAGCCCTGCTGGATCAGACCAATGATGGTCCATCTAGTCCAGCATCCAGTCTCACACAGGGGCCAACCAGTTCCTCCGGAGGGCCAACAACAGGGCATAGAGGCCGAGGCCTTTCTAAGAACCTCAGAAGAGCCCTGCCGGATCAGATCAGTGGCCCATCTAGTCCAGCATCGGAACCTGGGGGCTGGGAAACCTAGGCCTGCATGCAGTGGCCAACCAGTTCCTCTGGAAGGCCAAAAACAGGGCGGAGAGGCTGAAGCCTTCCCCTAACGTTGCCTCCTGGCTCTGGGATTTAGAGGATTAGTGCCTCTGAATGTGGAGGTTCCCCTCAGCCACCACGCCTAGTAGCCATTGATAGACTTCTCCTCCAGGAATCTCTCTAATAATCCCCTTTTAAAGCTGTTTATTCCTGCGGCCATGGCTGCATCCTCTAGCAGTGGATTCCACATCTTAATCCCTCAAGGTGGCCAAATTTTTAACCTTGGGGTAAAGCAGATGCGTGTGTTCAACTGGTGTCCGTGGGATTCAGCGGTTAACACTGTTCGCTGTGTTAGATCGGGGCCTCTTGAGAGTACCAAATCCCCGTGCCATTCAATGTGAATTATTTATATGCATTTCGTAGAAAAAGAGGTGCAGGAGCTCATTGGCACAACTCATTTGCATATGCCACACACCCCTGACCTCACCGGAAGTGTCTCAGAAGGCAACACCCACCGGTCAGGCTCCACTGACAGTTAGAACCAGAATCTTTAGAATGGCTCACACAAAAAGTTATGTTTCATATTGGACCAATTTAGGTAGGTTGGAGACATATGCAAGCTTTTGAATTCCACAGAACCCTTTGCCACGACGAAGAACTCTGCGAAACTCAAAAGCTTGTGCGCTTCACCACCGCTGAATGGATTTGATGCAATAAAGCACATTCTTTCTTATCTGCTTTTGTAATCTCCTGTCCTTTGGAACAAACGTAGGAACTGCCAACGTAGGAACCGCCAGGTGCTTGGAAATGGAACAGGTGGAGGGAAATCTCCTAGCAGTCCTTGTTGCGGAAGCAAGAGGTGTACAAGGAATGATGGCTGTGGGAATGAGTTCAGATCAGCTGGCGAATGAAAACAGAGTTATCTAACCCGATCTCTATCAGCTCTTTAGCTTGGAGAAACGACGGCTGAGGGGTGACATGATCGAGGTTTATAAGATCATGCATGGGAAAGAGCAGGTAGAGAAAGAGGTACTTTTCTCCCTTTCTCACAATACAAGAACTCATGGGCACTCCATGGAATTGCTGAGCAGTTGGGTTTGAAAAGATAAAAGGAAGTCCTTCACCCAGAGAGTGAACACATGGAATTCACGGCCACAGGAGGTGGTGGCAGCTACAAGCATGGACGGCTTCAAGAGGGAATTAGATAAGCACAAGAAGTGGGGACCCACGATACTTGTGTGTGTGGGGAGCTCCACGTGGAGGAGGAGGAGGGAGCAGCCACAGGTGATCCTTCTCCCCCGCTCCCCCCGCACCAATGGCGAGGCCTGGGCCCGCCAATCCTCCCCCCAACCCCCCTGCACCGATGGTGAGGCCCACGCAGCTCCCAGCCGCCAGGCCCGCCAATCCTCTGCCTTCCCGTCCCAGCAGTGAGCCGTGCGGGCCTACCAAGCCTTCCCCCCGAACACACTTTTACTTTTGGGAAAATTTAAGTATCCCCGTATATTTTTTCAGCTTTTTTAGATTTTTCTGCACACCTG